GTAATTGTTATTTTAAATACAAGAAGAGGTAGATTTTGGTTACCGCGGTTTAGGGGAAGCGGCCCGCGTGGGATAACCCTGGGCCTGGAAGCAAGCTGGATCTTCCCATAGTTTTTTTAAAGATAATTTCTCTGTTAAACAGTCTATTGCTTTCGTAGCAGTTACATTTTATTCTGTTGTGAAATTAACTTTTTCTTTGGGGACAAAGGGAATTGCATAAAAATTTTGCAAATATCAGTAACTAAAATTTTACTCTCAAATTTTTATACCAACCACAAGGGCAATAAGCTCCATATTTCTAAAAAATTAGTATTTCTTTTTTTTACATTTGAATTTTAGGTTACTTTTACTTATTGACTGGGCATTAACTTTACAATCGCAGTTACTGAATTTTTAAAGAAAACTATTGTATGGGGCTTGAATTGGTTTACATTGGCAGCGGGTCGTTAGCGTGACAAACGCAACCTTATTATCGTTATCCCCTTTTCGTCTGTCCCGCTAGAAACAATAAGACAAAAGCAGCAAACGGTTTGCGTTGTACGCTTTTGCCTGTTGTCGCGTCCTGTCCCAAGCCCGGGGGCACGCACTACATGGGGCGCTTTGTCCGGTGCGATGTATTGTTGCGATGTTCACATTCGTTCCGCTCGGTTCAAATGGAAGAATTGGCTTAAATAAGCCAGCGAAGGGCCCGACATGTGCCGCACAAACAAAACAGTTTGGCCCGTGCCTCGCTGGGAAAACAGGACCATAAGACAAATGGCCGTTTGAAATCCTGATTTGAATGAGCGACAATATAAATCGCGACAACACGCCCCGACAACGCGCCGTTTGGGCGTACTCGATAGCGACAGGACAAGACGAAAATTCCGAAACGCTCTGTTTTCACTTGCGCCAGCACACGACAAGGAGTTAAAAATCAGCCACAATGGTAAGAGACATTTTTAAATATGCGTTCTTTCCCTGTAACCCGCTGCCGGGCCGGGTTTCGAGGGAGTTAGGAGTCGATGAAATTCTAAATCCGTTACCCTCTCTGTCGGGGGTTTTCGATTCCCCAAAGGAGATGGTTTTTTGGTAGTTTAGGTGCGGAGGAAAGGTAGTTCCAAGTACTGAGGTTATTCTCCAGGAAAAAGACAGAACGAGGTTTAGGAAACTAACCCTGCCCTATATGACTGAAATACTGTTGGAAAAAAGGCTTAAAATGAAAAAACAACAAAGAAACTTTCCACGTGGATTTGTTGCAGTTGGGAATATATTGGTGTCCTTTTTGGCAATAAATTATACGAATGCTTTGACCATGTTCGTTTTTTTCTTAAATTTTGTCCCCGCCTTTCTTGTATTTTTTTTTTAGATAAGGTCGCCAAGATTTTACATTCTCACAAAATACTTTTCGCTTCCCATTCAACATTGAATTTGAGAAAGTTGAATTTATTGACATTTTTTACTTTGTACCCCTCGCCCACATACAAAAAAAATCAACTGCCCTAAACGCTGAAAGCATTGCGTTAAAGGGTAAGCATGTGGAATAAGGAAACTTACTAAATTTGGGGCCAAAAACGTAATCCATATAGCATTGACGCATTTCAAGTTAGAGGACGATTTCAATGATGACTGACATAATCGATTTTGTAAAAATTTGACATTCTGTTTAATTGATGACAGCCATTTTTAACATTGTTTAAAAACATTGAATGAAAGTGAATTATGTCCGATTGACTAAGTGCACAAAAAGTTTTCCGCGAATACAATTTACCTACACCTTTCCCCTGCCCAAAGCCATAGATATAATGAAGCCTTGTGCAAATATTTTCTTAGTTTTATAGTTTCAACGTGAAAATACAATAGATCTATTTATGATTAAAATGTGTTTTTAATCTATCGGTTTTTAACCGTTCAATAAAGTGGGTACAATTACTCGTATTTTCTTCCAAAAAATTGTCTTTTTTATGTCGTAAAAAGACACTTTTAAAGGAAAACTTGTTACTGTATTGCCATTAAATACTTGTGGTCTTGCATGCCTTTAAATTTCTCGCTTGTAGTTCCAGTTATGGGAAAGACTATTATAAAACTTAGAGGAAAAAATTTAAAACCACAACAATTTTAAGATTCTTGCTCAAGGGAAACATGGCTCCTTGACAAACGATGCCAGAAATGCCAAGTCCGACGTTTTTCAGTCTAATAAGTCTCGGTTTGATTTCCTTACTCTTCCAAATGTAATTTCTACTCAGATTTTTTTATAATTATAACAATAAATTCTAAATTCATAAAAACATTTCATTTAAACATGATAATTGGCAAATATTAAAATTTTCACAGGATTGAAGTAGGGAAGGCTTGATTTTTCTTTTTGAGAAACTCTCCCGTAAGGAGACTAATCTCCAAGAGTATGTAAAAAGGGTAACAATTGATATATGTATATTTTTGTGTTTAGAATATACATAACATTTTTCACTCTTTAACATGTACAATAAAGAGCTGTCCTAATAGAACCGATTCTTTAATAAAAAAAAGAATCAGATTCTTTCGAAGGGTGACCGGTGGTCCCGCCATGGGTGTTACGGGCCAAGACACCCAAAGAAACCAGGGTTTGCTTCTAGAACTAACTAGTATTATGCTTTTTTTTTCCTCCGGTTTGGTAAATATAATTAAATATACATTTCCACATGCTTTGACCAGATGGGGCAACAATAAAATAAAATATCAAATAGATTTATTCACCATTAGGTAATAATCATGGTGCGGGCAAGTCTAGCCGTCAAATGTATACGGTGCCAACAATTTCGGTGCAGACCCATTATAACGTGTACCAAGAACCTTGGTCAATTTGTCCACGCTTTTATGACTTTTTTAAAGAAATTAAACGGCTTAAATGTGGTGGCAATATTTTTTTGTAATACATATCTTTTATGCTTACAGTTAATATTCATATTAATATTTTGATTGACAACAATTATTTTCTCCCTTTTAAAAGTTTTTTCCACAAATGCTCATTTTTCCCAAAAGCCATCCAGCTCTAGCTGTTTTCATTAAACAAAAGAAATCGTAAAAAATTCCCTTTAATAAAAAATAGGTAAAGAAATAGCTTCAAATGATCATAATATATTCCGTAGATACACTTTTATGAATACACTTACTTTAAAAGTGTGACTATCAGGTCGTTTTGCCATTCATGCATGTTGTGTTTAAAGTGTGTTTGTTTTTTTCTATAATGATACGGTGCTGCGCGCAGGAATGATAAATTATGCGACGGTACGCGGAAAAATGATGCGTATACCCTTGACACCGTGAAGTATTGTTACAATCTGTTTTCAACTGCCACTTAAGTTTAAAGGTACATGTACATTGTAAGAACCGTGTTTATAAATAACACATATTTAAGAAGAAAATGTCTAATTTAAGTGACAGCTCTACAGTAGTGAAGTGAGTGTTTTACAAGGTGACACAGAGCAAACCTCATGGAGTTCTAGTTTTTTATTTCATATTTTATAACAGTATAAGATTATATATACAAAATAAATGATATCACAATTCATATTAGTTGCTATTTCACTCTGATTACTTTTATTTGAGACTAAAATTTTAACAGAAAGAATGATGAAAGGGCATATGTATATATATATTAACATCTGAGTCAGTTTGATACACAACAATCAGTATTATAATCATTGAAAACTTTCAGTTGTAATACTGTCACTGTATTTTGACCCCTTATTATGTGCTGCCAATAAGCCAGAAAGGAGTTTACATATATGTACTGATTGCTACATTGTTCTTGCCCCTTTGTTGAAGAGAAAGCAGTAGATAATTTAATGCTCTTGGGTGTCTGTTTTCTTGTTCCACTACATTGTCCTAAGATGTTTAGAGCTGTTTTCTCTATGTCCAAGGTTTTCAATCAGTTACTATCGTCCTTAAAAGTTTACTAAGTGCTTGTTGTTGATCTTGATGTCTTGTAGATGACGGGTAGATCTTGTATTGTAGGAAGTATAGGAAAAAAAGGTAAGAGAATTCACTACAGGGCCCAGTCCATTCCAACAGTCTGCTTTTCTTATCACTGTGTATCATGTCAGCTTGTGTAGATCTGAACATTTCATATTGTAGTTCATGAGGCACACAGTTGATCTCTTTCTGTATAAATCTGACACAAAATGCTGTAATATGTTTGATACAGTCCTCACTTTGTTCACCACATATCCTCTTGTATTCTGCTGTTACTGCTGGTAGAGGTTTCTTCCAGCAGCCACAAATAGGTACAACAGGGTAAGAGTAGTATTGTTGTTCAATGTGTCTCAGAATTAGTTCAGCTCTCTCCATATCTCCTGTACAGTAGAACACAGAAGCCAATTTAAGTCTGCTAGATGAGATATCTGAGTTCAAACCAGCTGATAACCAAACCAAAGCTTGTGGTGACACTTGATTATTTTCACCAATACTGAATGATGCTAGGATAGATCCATATGTGGTAAAACCAAAAGGTGCTAGAAACTTGAATGCAGTCTTTTCTAATCTATTACCATTAACATTGATAGTAATTAGTTTACCTATACAATGCTTCATTGTTCTAATGTTTTTTGTGTGTAAATGTCTTAAAATGTGCACATGAGATAGGCTTGTAAGGTGTGCTGTGTTTAAATATTCTGAGGTCATATGAAATTCATGTATCGCAAGAGAAGAATCAATAATAAATGCTCCGTGTGCACTATGTTCAGTTTAACTTGCAATCTATATGCCCAGATCATCAATATCAATTTCTAAGTAACATTATTTTACTGTCATTCTGTAAAAAATCACTTATATTTTTCGAAAGTTCATGTTTTTTTTTCAGCCTGTAAATTGCCCTGCCCATCAAATTGTTTTCTTGGATAATGAAATGTGAACAATGGTCATTCTGTACACAGCTAACTGTAATTCTAATAAGCAGTATGTTAAGCATATAAATAAATTGTTCTCTTTCCCAATAAAATATACTTGACTCTGTGTTTTCTATACAGTGTAATAGAAACTGTTTACATCATGAAGCTTGATATGTTGATTTCCCCTTGAGGATTAAGGAAGGATTTAAGAATCATTTTCAATAATACATAGCACCTTATTTGTGTTATATTTAGATTTAACATAAGATGTTTTTCTGCCAGTGATGTAGATATTCTCCATTCAAGTTCAGGATATTGACTGACCTTACTTCCAGTTGGGACAACAAAACACCCAGTACTGGCAGCATATCTTCTCATGTCTTGTGTTGGCCATCTACGTATATCTTGTCTCTCTAACCAACCAGATGCTGATTGAGGCCAGGAGTTACATGAAAAAGCTGGCACAGTGTCTGTATCACAGAATCCATGCTGTCCTTGTCTAGCATTTGATGGTCCATGACTTACAGCATCCGGAATGGCACCATTAAATATTGTGTTTTTATACAATACCCTTCCACTTCTGTCTCTTATATAGTGTTCAATAGGAATTACTGTAACAGGGAGAGGTATATCAGGTCGGAGCAGTTGTAAGAAACAATAACCAAGGGTAGTGTTCTCATCCTGTAGCATGAGATAGTTTAACTTGCCATGTTTCCACTCTGACCAGTTTTGTATTATATTGAATTCATGAGAACAGAATAGTACATCAATGTCTGAATCAAGTCCTCTAGTAGTTGTACCTTCACTCCGACTCCCTAGATAATATACAGATACGTTTGTATCAGTTAACCTATGTGGGATATTCCTCATAGTCTCCTCCAGCATGAAATGTCTTCTCCTTCTCATCACCATTCTTTCATTGACACCAATGTCATCTAAAACCTCTGATAAAGCCAATGATAGGTTTTCTCTGTGGTCATGTTCTTGAAACATTCTGTAATATATTAGTAAAAGGAAAAATTGTTGTAGTCACTCATTAAATCTATTTTTTCACATACTTCTACTTGTTTGTTATCTGCCCTATGTGGAAAAATAAGTATTGATATTGTGAAATTTTTAGGTAGATATCAATTATAATAATAATAATAATAGAATAATAATAATAATAATAATAATAATAATAATAATAAAATGGTATTGTAAAGATTTGTTCCTTTTATCTACATGTATTTTTTTTTTTTTTGATATTCTCCAAACTTAAATATTTGAATATTTATTTTTTAAATTTTATTGATGCAAATTTTTGCGAAAGGTTTCTGTAATGGTGGATTTTCTTCCACTATGTTTTTTTGACTTAAAACTTTACTACTATAAATTCATAAAAAAACGTTATTTTTTTCCAAAAAGAAAAGAAAAAACAATTATAAAAGATATATAACTCACTTTTAATGCTTTGTTAATAGTAAAATGTAATTATGTCCCTTACAATATTGTAAGCTTATTTGCATTCCTGAGAGTTACATTTATGATAATTATTTAAGGTTTTGATACATCAATATTAATTTTTAAAATTTTGATCAATTTTCAGTGTTTTTTATGTTTTTAAAAATTAACATTATATTAAATTGTAAGTTGACTTTGAAGACTCTTGAATCAAACACAATCTAAATTGATAATATAATATTAATATTGCAATCAAATATTTTCTTAAATAATGTATTTATTAAAATGTAAATTATGTGTTTAAAGATAAATTTAAACTTACTTTTAAAGTTGTATTTGACAGCATATGATCAGGATGTCTTTAAAATTATTGAAAAAAAAAAAATGTTTGACTTTCTGTTTGACAAAGTTGGAAATTCCTCTTTTGGAAGGGAAATAACTCACTTCCTCTTCCTGTTGTTATAGAATATAATTTGATTATTTCCCTTGTTTAAATTTGTTTTTGCTTATTTTAAGTGAAAAATTATATAGGTATTGTAACCGAACTTAGTCTCTTCTCCTTAGGTAGCATTGGAGAGGTAAGTCTGGCTAACAAAGTCCTGCATGAAAGTAACATTCAGCAGGCCCAAAATAAACACATATGAATACAGTTTCTACTTCTACTTATTTATTTTTCATTTATTCATTTATTCGCAAACACACAAACATATTAAAAGTTATTACATTATTCAAATATTTACATTAAAACAATACTTCTGATGAATCTCAAATATTTTCTTTTCCACATTTCTATATTTCTCCCTAATCTCCATCTATCTCAAAAATCTATCCCCATCTCTCAATCAAAATCTATCTAATCCAAAACTCAATCTAATATCCAAATCTATCCCCCAAATTCTATTCCCATTTTTCCCTGTCTGAGAATAAACCTACTATTTATACTAAAACATAACCCGAAAAGTTCAGGTATACCTGAAGAAATGATTAGTATACTGAAATTGACTAATGTTAAATTATGTTAAATGATATTGCATAAGTAACCCGACAGAAAGTGGGTATGACCTGAAAATGTCATATATTCATTTAGAGTACCTGAAAAGATCAGGTTACCTGGAACTGTAAATTGGTATAACAGATTAACATGTATTAGATAATTGACCTGACCAGCTCAGGTATTGTGCTTATCAGAATGATTTATGGTAACCTGAAAATGCAATTAACATCTACAACAAATTAGTAGCACTTGTATTCATTACTGATAAAATGAAGACTCTGTTTTTAATCCAAAGTAAAATTACTCTCCATAATTTATAAACTTAAAAACTGTCACAGTATATAAAATAATTATATGGCTATATCTCTTTTGATAAAATGTGTCATATATCTTTTAAGAATATGGTGATTTATTTTAATTGTACATTAATTTACATGCAATATTCTTTAAAAACATGTCTTAATAAATTCTGTTTTGAAGGATTTTTACTGTATAATATTATATAAACTTTATTCTGTATCACTAGAAATGATACAAAAACCTGACAAGAGTTTGAATAAATCATTTCATTTTAGACACAAGACATATACAAACCTATAGTCAGTGTACTTGTATGTTTTTCTAAAGTGTATATAAATATCTGAAGAAAAACACTTAAACCTTTTGGGTATAAACATGCACATTGAGCATTTAACTTTAAGCCTTTTTTGCCATATATTTTTCAGGCACTTGTATTCAATATATAACCGTATAAAATAAACATAATGACTCAATATTTTAAGACATATTTTGTCTTAAATATAAGTCATGATTTTCTCTGTTTCCCGAACAGTAATAAATTTAACTAATTAACTGAGTTTTATTGTGTTGCCTTGAAAAAGGCAACATATAGGGGTTACTTTTGTCTGCGGCATTGTTGTCGGTGTCCTCTTAAGCTTGTCCAGAGCATAAATCGGTCATTATAAGTCGTATTGACTTTAAACTTGGTATGCATGCTTCTTATAATGACCCAAAGTGCAGTGCACAAGAACCAGTACTCTGCATTTCTTAATTTTTGAGTTATTGCCCTTTGGTAATTTTCATACTTTATTTTTGTCCGGGGCCATTTCTCCTAATATATAAAAGCTATGGACTTGAAACTTCTTAGAATGATAGATCTCATTAAGAACCGGTGCTCTGCACTTCTTATTTTTAGCTCTACTATACGAAGTATATGGAGAGCTGTCCTACTCGCCCCGGCGTCGGCGTCCGCGTCCAGATCTTAGATTAAAGTTTTGGTGCAGTAAAATATTTTTCACTATAACTTTGTCATTTCTTAAGGTATCAACTTCAAACTTCAAATATATGTTCCTTATCATCAACCACATCTTATGTGACAAGGTTCATAACTCTAGCACCAATATTTTCAGATTTATCTCCCCTTGAACTTAGAATTTTCCTTAAAAAATACTATTTTTGACTGTTACTTCTTTATTTCTTAAGGGATCAACCTCATACTTCAAATATATGTACCTTATCATCATCCCCATCTTATGTTACAAGGTTCATAACTCTAGCACCAATATTTTCTGATTTATCTCCCCTTGAACTTAGAATTTTTCTCAAAAAGTACTATTTCTTACTGTTTCTTCTTTATTTCTTAAGGGATCAACCTCATACTTCAAATATATTTACGTTATCAACATCCCCATCTTATGTGACAAGGTTCATAACTCTAGCACCAATATTTTTAGATTTATCTCCCTTTGAACTTAGAATTTTCTATAAAAAATATTATTTTTTACTGTTACTTATTTATTTCTAAAGGGATCAACTTCATACTTCAAATATATTTACGTTATCATCATCCACATCTTATGTGACAAGGTTCATAACTCTAGCACCAATATTGCAAGAATTATCTCTCCATAAACTTAGATTATTTTACTAGAAAAATGTTATTTTTTATTATAACTTTTTATTTTTAAAGGTATCTACCTCAAACTTCAAATACTTATTCCTTATCATCAATTACATTTTATGTGACAATGTTCATAACTCTTGAAGCAATATTTACAGATTTATCTGTCTGTGAACTTAGGATTTTCTTTAAGAAATATAATAACTTCTTTACTTTTTAAGGTATCTACTTCAAACTTCAAATATATATTTCTTATCATTACACAAATGTTGTGTGACAAGGTCCATAACTCTAGCATGACTATTTCTAGAATTATTCCCCTTGATCTTGGAATTAATGTTAACAAATGTTATTTTTTTTCTATAACTTAATACATAATTATGCATAATGGATTTTTCTTTCATAGTTTTGTCCTCCTTACTGCGTCCAGTATTTTATTAGTCGAGCTTCGCTGTCTCCTGTGACAGCTCTTGTTTGAGTTATTGCCCCTTGTTAATTTTTATACTTTATTTAAGGGTCATTTATTAATCCTTATTTGCATATAGTAAAAATTAAAAAAATCTTCTTTTAAAAAACTCAAATAGCTAGAGCTTAGATATTTAGCATGTAACATTATCTAGTAGGTGTCTACCAAGTTTGTTAAAAAAAAAGACCCTGGGGTAAAAATTGGCCCCGCCCCAGGGGTCATTGTGTTTCCCTTTATGTATATAGTAAAAAAAAAAATCTTCTTTTAAAAACCCAAAGAGCTAGAGCTAAGATACAAAGCAGGAAACATCTTCTAATGGTAGTTTACCAAATTTGTTCAAATAAGGGCCCTTTTTTGATTTTTGTAAGAGTTATGGCCCTTTAATAATTTTTATTTTTTAAGTTTGTCCGGACTGCTTCTCTTATACCACTAATGCAATTTCAATGACACTTTATAGGATTGATCTGTAGCTCAAGTCCTTGCGCATATTGCACGGGTTTTCCGGTTGAATGATTTTTGGCCGAGTTATGGCCCTTTGATAAAAAGGTGTTTTTATGCTCCCCGAAAAATTTCGGGGGAGCATATAGTCGGCGCCTTGTCCGTCTGTCCGTCTGTCCGTCCGTCCGTCTGTCCGTCCGTTGTCTTGTCCGGAGCATAACTTGAAAACCCTTGGAGATAATTTGTTGAAACTTCATACAGTGGTAGAGGGCATCGAGGGGGAGTGCAGTGTCAAAGAACCATAACTCTATTTTGCCCGGTTTTTGAATTATCTCCCCTTATAGAAAAATCTTGTCCGGGGCATAACTCTAAAACTATAAGAGATATCAACATGAAACTTTGTAGGTGAATAGATCTCAATGGGTAGATGTGCAGTGCATAAGAACAATAACTCTTTTCATCCTAATTTTGGAGTTATTGCCCTTTGTTAATTTTAATACTTTGAACTTTGTCCGGAACATAACTTGAGAACCCTTGGAGATAATTTGTTGAAACTTCATACAGTGGTAGAGGGCATCGAGGGGGAGTGCAGTGTCAAAGAACCATAACTCTATTTTGCCCGGTTTTTGAATTATCTCCCCTTATAGAAAAATCTTGTCCGGGGCATAACTCTAAAACTATAAGAGATATCAACATGAAACTTTGTAGGTGAATAGATCTCAATGGGTAGATGTGCAGTGCATAAGAACAATAACTCTTTTCATCCTAATTTTGGAGTTATTGCCCATTGTTAATTTTAATACTTTGAACTTTGTCCGGAACATAACTTGAGAACCCTTGGAGATAATTTGTTGAAACTTCATACAGTGGTAGAGGGCATCGAGGGGGAGTGCAGTGTTAAAGAACCATAACTCTATTTTGCCCGGTTTTTGAATTATCTCCCCTTATAGAAAAATCTTGTCCGGGGCATAACTCTAAAACTATAAGAGATATCAACATGAAACATTGTAGGTAGATAGATCTCATTGAGTAGAGGTGCAGTGCAAAAGAACCATAACTCTGTTAAGCCTTATTTTTGAATAATCTCCCCTTTTAGAAAAATCTTGTCCAGGACATAGCTGTAAAACTATAAGAGATATCAACATGAAACTTTGTAGGTAGATAAATCTCAATGGGTAGATGTGCAGTGCACAAGAATCATAACTCTACCTTGCCTAATTCTGGAGTTATTGCCCTTTGTTTATTTTTACTTTTTGAATTGTCCAGGACATAACTCGGAAATCATAAGAGATATCATCAAGAAACTTTGTAGGTTGATAGATCACATTGATTAGAAGTGCATTGCAAAGAATTGTAACTCTGCCTTGCCTTATTTTGGAATTATTGCACTTTGAACTTTTTCCACGGACATAACTCTGAAACTACAAGAGGTGTACTTTCCTGTGTCCAAAACCTATTCGGGGAGCATCACCCGGCTCAAACCGGGCTCTTGTTTTCTGTGTGTTGCCAGATACACAAAAGCTTGTCCAGAATACTTCACATAAACTACTGGTGCAATTTCATCCAAACTTTACAGGAATGATCAGTACCAAGTCTTGTTGTGCATATTGTCAGCATTTTCCGGTTCAATGATTTTTGTAAGAGTTATGGCCCTTTAATATTTTTTATTTTTAAAGTTTGTCCGGACTACTTCTCTTATACCACTAATGCAATTTCAATGAAACTTTACAGGATTGATCTGTAGCTCAAGTCCTTGCGCATATTGCACGGGTTTTCTGGTTGAATGATTTTTGGCCGAGTTATGGCCCTCTTGTCCGGACTACTTATCATAAACTACTGGTGCAATTTTATCCAAACTTTACAGGAATGGTCAGTACCAAGTCTTGTTGTGCACTGTCCGTCTGTTTGTCTGTCACAAAACTTGTCCAAACATGAAATTGGCCATCATGAGGCGACACATGTGATCACTGATCGCTCTTGTCTTAAAATGTGTACAGTGAAAACTTAAAAAAAATCTTCCTTTAAAAAACCCAAAGAGCTAGAGTTTAGATACTAAGTATGAAATATCTTCTAGTGAGAGTTTGTTCAAATAAAAGCCCTTGGGTCAAAATTGGCCCCACTCAGGGGAGATCATTGTTTTTCCCTATATGTGTATAGTAAAAAAAACTTAATCAATCTTCTTATAAAAACCCCAAAGAGATAGAGCTTAGATATTTATAAAGCTTAGATATTTATCATGAAACATTTTCTAATGGGTGTCTACCAAGTTTGTTCAAATAAAAGACCTTGGGTTAAATTTGCCCCCGCCCTGGGGGCCTATTTACAGATGAGCGAAATCAGGGCCCTCTTGTTTAAATACCAAAGAGGACAAGTTGTTTCTTTGTCTTCTTTTTTAAACAAAAAAGTCAATTATGTTTTATAAATAGCTCTTGGGATGCTGTTTCAAGAAGTGATGCACTTTTCCACAATAAAAATACTGAAATACCTAGTTTGAAACAACACAGTTTATTGGTTTTCAAACAGAAAAAAGCTGAATGCAGCTTTGATGACTTTCTTGCTGATAAGATGTCTATACTTCAGTATGCTGCAGTAAAACTGTAAAAGACTTAATCTTTACTTTATTGAGACTTTATGGTATATGTTATTTTTTCATATATGTAATAATTGTTTTGAAAACCAGTTTTATCATTGTAACAGATATCCCATTTAGATCAGAATGAGCGATCTAGGGCCATCTTGGCCCTCTTGTTTTGGGGTAGAATAGGCCTTTAATTTTTTTACAGTTTTTTACAGTGTAATTCATATTGTTTTACCTTACTTCAATTTTTGGACAAATAATGTTTAATTAAAAGTTGATTGATTTATATCTCTGCCAGCTTTTTGCATTCTACAGTTACATAAAAATTGTTAAAGACTAAATGATATGTCAATATAGTTATATGTTTGATATATTTTCATTTTTTATGTTTTTGATATTCAAAGGCCGTTGAATTGTAACTTGAAGCAAAATATTGACTAAAGAGTTTATTGAATTGAACACTTATCTAATAAAATATTCCATGTCGTACTTTCTTAAAAAAGTTGTTCAATATAAATATGAAATTTTCTTTATAAGAATAAATCTTAAACTTACTTTGATAGTTGAATTTGACACTAAGTCTTGAAAATAATCCAAAAATGGTATTGACTTTCTGTTTGACAAGAAAGGAGGAAATTTTACAATTTTTACTTCCTGTTTTGGTTTTTACTGAAATTAGTTAGAAGGGGAATAACTCACTTCCTCTTCCTGTTGTTGTGAAATATAATTGGATTATTTCCCTTATTAAAAATTTAACATGAAGTTCCATGTATTTAATCAATAAAGTATTTATTAAGACAACAAATAATTTAAAAGGAATGTTGCATGTAAAATCATGCTCTTAGAGATAAATGACATATTTTCATCAGAAAAATAATTATAGTCATATAAATAAGGTTTTTCAGACATGGGGCATTAACTAGTGTTTATTTTTGTGGTTGTTGATAAATGTCAGTTCATGGTATTTCATTAGAAAACTTATATAGATGCTGGTATACAAAATAATTATATGTCCATAGTCATATACCAGTAAAGAATATGGTGATTTATTTTCAGTATTACTATAATTATTCCTTTAAAACTTACTTATGTTGTCTTTATAAATTCTGTTTTGAAGGATTTTTACTGTCTAAATAATCTTCATTCTGTATCACTAGAAATGATTCAAAAACCTGTCAAGTGTTTGACTTTAAACACAATACACACATTGTACTAAAGTCTTGTATTAGTTGTTCTAAGTGTATATAAATATCTAAAGAAAAGCATCCATGGCCTTTTTGTGTATGAATAAACTTTATTGTGTATCAATAAAAAACAATACAAATCTTGTGATGAAGCAATGAGTTATATACATGTATAATGAGCATTTAAATTAGCATAGATTTTTCAGGCACTTATGACTTTTAAAAATTCCATCAATAGAACAAAGAAAAGGATTTAATATTTAAGGCAGATAATGAAATGATTAAAGAGTTATTGAATAAATATTTATTTATTATACACCCACAAATGAAGTTTTGGGGGTTTATAGGCGTGAGTTTGTCAGTCCGTCTGTCCACCTGTCGGTCGGTCCACTTCATGGTTTCAGGACAAAAACTAGTTTGGAATGAGATATCAATTGTCATTTAAGTTTGTATAGCAAGCTTATGTGGAGACCCCAGTTTGGATTGCTTTTGCATCATCTAGGGTCAAGGTCAAGGACAGGAAAAGTGGTTTCTGGACAGATACCATAGTGAAGAATGAGATATTTTAATCAAACATAATTTTCAGTGTTTTATGTTTTTGAAAATTAACATTATATTAAATTGTAACTTGAAGCAGAAACTTTACCTGGAAGATACCTGAACAAAAACTAAATAAGTAATATACCATCCATTATACTTTCTTAAATAATGTATTTATTGAAATGTGAAATTAATATGTATAAAGATCAATTTGAAACTTACTTTGAGTGTTGTATTTGATACTGTGTCTTGAAAATAAATAAAAAAAATTGTATTGACTTTCTGTTTGACAAGATTATTAGTTGGAAATTTTACTTGTTTTACTTTCTCTTTTGGTTTTGAATGAATATAAAGGGAAACAATTCACTTCCTTTTCCTGTTGTTATAAAATTTAATTGGATTATTTCCCTTCATGAAAATTTGACAAATTGAACAAAATTATAAGATTTAGTTATAAAGTTCCATGTATTTTATAAAAAAAAATGTTATTAAGACAACAAATGATTTAAAAGGAATGTTGCATGTAAAATCATGCTCTTAGAGATAAATGACATATTTTCATCAGAAAAATAATTATAGTTATATAAATAAGGTTTTTCAGACATGGGGCATTAACTAGTGTTTATTTTTGTGGTTGTTGATAAATGTCAGTATTGTCATTAGAAAACTTATATGTGTGTACAGAATATTTTTATGGCTATAAAATTTAGTCATATACCAGTAAAGAATCTATTGATTTATTTTCAATGCACATTTCATTTGCATGTACTTTTCCTAAAAAAACTCAACATATTGTCACCTTAGTGCAGTAACGTAATAAGTTCTTCTAAATTCAATAGGAGTTAATCAGTTATTGCACTAAGATGACAAATTATGTTGACAGTTTCTGTTCATTATCTCCCCAACAGTGTACACATTCCATTCAAAATTTGACATATGGATACATCAAAGAAATGCACAGGTCAAGTTCAATTTGGTCATGGTTTGATGATTATTAGCTTGACTTTTTTTTTTGAAATAAAAAGTAGAGGTATTGCTATAGTTGCGGGGGAGTTGCCGTTTCCATTCCCGTCCGCAAACTTGTTCCTGGCCCCGTGTTCACAAAGATTTAAGGATCAGGATCAAGATCAGGATCAAATTTAAAAACTCTAATATTCTTCAGTGTTTATCCACATAAATTAAATATCTAATATTAATTTGATAGAACTGGACTTGCAAAAGCAAGGTCATGAAATTTTAAAATAAATTTATTGTTATTTTTGCAACATACGGGCATTTTACAGTTGATCCAAATTTTGATCCTGATCCTAAAATTGATTCTTATTTTGATCTGAAAATTTTTGTATTTGTTTTGTTATTTGCTGATTTTATCCCAAAATAGTTTGGTTTCTTTGCAAATCGGCAATTTTTTACATTTTGAATAATTATCATTTAATTTTAGCAAAACACAATTAATTTTAGTACTATAAAACAATGAAAATAAAATCTGGATCAATTGATCCTGATCCTGATCTTTTCTTAGTGAACATGGGGCCTGGAGCATAACTTTTTAGCCCACCTGTCACAAAGTGACAGGGTGAGCTTTTGTGATCGCTTTTCGTCCGGCGTCCATCCGGCGTCCGTCCGTAAAATTTTACTTTAAATGACATCTCCTCATAAACCACTAAGCCAATTTCATCCAAACTTCACAGGAATGTTCCTTTGGTGGTCACCTTTGAAAATTGTTCAAAGAATTTAATTCCATGCAGAACTCTGATTGCCATGGCAACCGAAAGAAAAAACTTTAAATATCTACCCAGGGGTTCATTGATTTTCCCTATATGCATATAGTAAAAACTTAAAAAATCTTCTTTTAAAGAACCCAAAGAGCTAGAGCTTAGATATTTAGCATGAAACATGTTCTAATGGGTGTCTACCAAGTTTGTTCAAATAAAAGCCCTAGGGTAAAAATTGGCCCTGCCCCAGGGGGTCATTTATTTTCCCTAAATGCATATAGTAAAAACTTAAAAAATCTTCTTTTAAATAACCAAAAGAGGTAGAGCTAAGATATTTAGCATGAAACATGTTCTAATGGGTGTCTACCAAGTTTGTTCAACTAAAAGCCCTAGGGTTAAAATTGGCCCTGCCCCAGGGGGTCATTTATTTTCCCTATATGCATATAGTAAAAACTTAAAAAATCTTCTTTTAAATAACCAAAAGAGGTAGAGCTAAGATATTTAGCATGAAACATGTTCTAATCGATGTCTACCAAGTTTGTTCAAATAAAAGCCCTGGGGTCAAAATTGGCCCCGCCCCAGGGGGTCATTGATTTTCCCTATATGCATATAGTAAAAACTTAAAAAATCTTCTTTTAAAGAACCAAAAGAGCTAGAGCTAAGATATTTAGAATGAAACATCTTCTATTGGATGTCTACCAAGTTTGTTCAAATAAAAGCCCTGGGGTCAAAATTGGCCCCGCCCCAGAGGTCATTCATTTTCCCTTTATGTGTAAAACTATAGCAAAAATTGAAAAATCTTCTTTGAAAAAACTCAAATAGCAAGAGTTTAGATATTAAGCATGAAGCATCTTCTAGTGAGTGTCTTCAAAGTTTGTTCAAATAGAAGCCCTGGAGTCAAAATTGGCCCCGCCCTTGGGGACATTGATTTTCCTTATACAAGTATAGCAAAAACTTAAAAATCTTCTTTTAAAAAACCCGAATAGCTAGAGTTTAGATATTAAGCATGAAACATTTCCTAGTAAGTGTCTACAAAGATTGTTCAAATAAAAGCCTTGGGGTCAAAACTGGCCCTGCCCCAGGTGTGTCATTGTTTTTAACTATATGTGTAAAGAAAAAACTTTAAATCAAAGGGCTGCAAGCTCTGTGGTATTTTCTGATCTTTGCAATCTTAATCGTACTGTATATCTGTATTTGTTTTCCTGTATAAGTTTATTTTTGGCATCCTCGGCGCAATGTGAAAGGGCGACAGCAACTTCTCGAGCCTTTTAGTCGGACATAATAAAAGCCGTTTATTCCGACCAGTATGAGGGTGCTTGACTGCGGTCTGGAGACCACAGGGTATTGGTACGCGTTTAACTTTTGAGGCATGGAGGAGCACGTGACCTGTTTTCGGTACATGGAGGAGCATGTGATCTGTAAACCGTACATGATTGGTTAATTGACCTTTTCGGAAACCTGGATAAATACCGTTGGCTGGTACGTTACAGATAGTCCTCTAGGGAATTAGACACCTAATTAAGAACAAAAAATTTTATTGATATTTTTAATTTTCTATAATTATGTTACCGTTTAAGGTGGAAAAACTTGAATGATGTGTTTGAAAATGATCAATGTTTCTTTAATATGTATCTCAAAATGTTACAAACAATAAATTTTATACTGAAAATCTACAAAATTAAAATATTCGTAGTGGCATCTGCCATCATAAATACTTGTGTGTTTACTTTTTTCTTTTTTTTTGCTCGGAATTATTTATAAAATGGTAGGCCTATTTAATTATTTTCTTTCAAAAGAAATAATTGTTTTATGTTCGATCTTCTCCGGTGATCAACGGTCACCAGTTTCCAAAGACCTTCTTCTATATTAATCGATTACTGTCAAATATATCCAGATACAAACGTTTATTTATCCTCGCCCCACCCCCTGAAAATAGTTAAATGAAATATATTAATATCATTAAAAACGTTCCCCGCAGGAAACCATTTTATTAATTAAAAATGAAATGTCGCGATATATACAATGAATAGCGAACTGGAGAATTTCGCAATGCAAACATTTTCAAATGAAATAACCTTTTCCATCAATTTATTAAATCGCGCTCTTTTGGGTATTTTTATTTATCATTTTGTAGTACACAGTGGGTTATTATGGTTCATGTATCCGAAAGCTGAATACAATGATGAGTTGGTGACCTATATATTCCGAAAATCTATTTATAGCGGGGTGTATTCCAATCGGTAATTCCCGGTCTCTCCTGGTCTATTTTGACCGGAATTTACTAGTGACCGTCGAATAGTACCACACGTTTATTGTCCGTCTCTCCCGGTTTTCGAGTAGATGTTTGATATCGTTACAGAACAGAACAAATATTTACAGTTTAATAATATAAGTTTTTTTTCAAAATGAATGTTTGTCACTTTGTTTGGTTACAATAATTAATAAACACAGATCAACTCTCAAATGTATTGATTATTATTATACATAAACATACAATTCGAAAAAAAAAACCCCGACAACAACAATAACATGTTTTATAAAACATGATAAAACACTGGTACGTTTGTATCAGATAAAAACAATAAATATGTACTATAATTGAGAAAAATGGTACATTTTTATGGTATTAATATGACACTATCAACTTTGAAACATTTTATTTAATTTGTTATTCGTGTTTAGTAAAGATGCCGAGGAATTATTCAAAGTTACAAATTAGATTTTATGAATTATTCAATTGATTGATAATCTAAAAAATGGTAAAGAAAAATACAAATGTACATGTATATGTTTTAAGAATAAACAATATTATATATTAAAAGTTTAACCATAATTTACTGACTTTTTCCAGTTACGTTTTTACTTAATATAATCGTCGATCAATATGACAATTGAATTCTTAAAATATAAGTAAACGTAAAAACTCAGTATTAAAATAGCACATAAAACACAAAAAAAGAAAGAAAAATAATATTCATAAAATCTGTATTTTTTATTACAATTATTGTATAATAAACAATTATGCTCAACACGATCGACATGGTAATGTAACCAGTGTCATATAAATATTAAGTGTGAACAGATACCTATAGAGGGGGTCTTCGCTAATAGCGATAACATAATAAGGAACAAGTGTGGTGTTGATCATGCATTTACACATATGGATTATAAATGATTGTATACATGTACATGTATATCCGTTGCTAAAAAATCATTTATGTTCAATTTTAATGATAGCCACACTTTATCCTTGCATATCGTGGCTATTTCCAACAAAGACACTAAAAAAAGAATTTAAAAAAATGTTGACTCGACTGGGATTTGAACTCCAGACCTCTCACACGTGAAACGAGCGCGTTACCCCTGCACCACGGACAATTTTTAAAAACAGTGGTTGAATAAAATCAAGTCATTCGTAATTTATAATTTCCATTGCATTTTGGGTTAGGGTAATTTCGAG